TAGAACAAAGTATTCTTGCATTGAGGGAGTACTTGAGTGGAGGCCCAATGTCCTTCTGCTACCTTAATACTTAACCTATAAATATATGAACATAGATCTGTTTTCCCATCCTCATATATAAATATATGTGCATATGTACATGCCTTTATTTAGACCTCTATAAATGCCCTTTGGCTCCTATCTCTTTCCTCTATTTCTTTTGACTTTCTCTTGTCCCACTATCATGCTCAGTCTTCATTTGTGCTTAACATTATTTTCATTGCTACTTCATAACCATAATTTTGCCACTGTTATGAATCGTAATATAAATATCTGATATGCAGGATGTATTTTCATTGTTACAAATTGAACATAGTTAAAGCATAGTGATGAATCACAAAATCAATATGTAATTATATATTGTGAATTTTTTTTTTCTAATTACAAATAAATGAAATTTTGTCTTGAACCATAGTATAGCATGAGTAACAGTCTTCACGTCAGGTACTCATATGTATGCATATCTACATGTGGGTGGACCCGCCTGGAGATGGATAGAGGAGCGGTGTCTCAGTTCCTAAGACCATCAGAAATATGTGGCAACCCCTGTGAAAGGGTCACTCGACCCCCAAAGGGGTCGTGACCCACAGGTTGAGAACCGCAGACATAGCAGTTTCTGTGTCCATTCTACAATTTCTACAAAAGTTGTTAAGTGACATTGTTTACATACTTCACAATATATGAACATTCTCATTATTTCCATTCTGGTTGCTCCATTTCCATTGGTCTAGTTTCCTTGTCCCGTTATAGTCTTGTCCTTATTTTAAAGTAATTCTTGATGATTTTTGTTAATGGAAGTGCTCTACTGCCAGACGGCATCACTTTTTTAAGTGACTTTATTATTTAGCTACCAGAGGACGTCAGAGGTTACTTTGAGTTCAAGGTTTGAAGACTTTGTTCACACAGTAGACTCAGAACCTTCCGTCTCAACCAGTCTAGGAGGTCTGGGTGATTTTTATTTCATTGTTTTTTAGGAATTTGATGTCTGTTCCACATTTTTCTTCCATGTTAGACACTCTTTGTTTTATTCTGAGAATGTTTACTGACTGCCTGGCAAAATTCCAGACACCTGTGCTAAGTATGCTGATGAGTGAGAGCTGAGGTCCCAGTTACCTGCAAGGGAGACAGTCAGCAAGTAAACAAATAAAAATCACCAATTGAGATTAATGAAAAAGGAAATGATGTGCTAAATAATGGAGGGATGAGAGGGGGAGAGATCCTACTTGAATGAAAGTGGTTAGGGGAAACGTTTCTGAAGAAGTGATTGTTAATGAAGCCTGAAGGATGGTAGGAAGAAAGCATCCTTGCTTTGATGAGTCCAGACAGGGACAGGAAGGAGCTTGGTGTGGTGAAGAACAGAAATGAGACCAGTGTTACTGAAGCACAGTGAGTGGCAGGTCGTTTTGGGACAGGCAAGGCCTTAACAGACTCTAGGAGGAGTTTGGCTGTGAAGTAACTGGGGAACTACTTAAGACTTTTCAGTAGGAGAGGGAGCCAATCTGATCTTTGTTCTTACGCTGGCTGGTCTGTAGAGAATGGGCCAGGTAGACATGTACAGAGCCTGCGTTATGAGACCATGGCTGTGGTTTGGATTAGGGTGCCAGTAGTAAATAGAAAGAGATGTGTACAGTCAAGGAGATGTTTAATGTGCAGGCAAGGCTTAGCTGAAGGATTGAATATGGCTATGGATGCAAAGGAGGAATCAGGGACACGCTTAGATATATGTTGCTTTAAGAAACTGGATGGTAGTAGCACTTCCTATACAGGAATTAAATTGGAACTAGAAACTAAAAAGAGTTCTGTTTTTGGTTACGTTATGTGTGATATGTTAGGCAATCCTTTAGAGACACTAGATGGACCACTGGATTTATAAGTTGGTCTCAGAAGTCATCTGATCTATAGAAACAAATCTGAATCAACAGTGTTGATAAGAACGAGAAACCTCTGAGTAACCGCAAGACTAATAGGGCAGATTAAGAAGAATGACTCCGAGCTGGAAAAGCTGACAGTGACAAATGGGCAAGGGGAAATTTAGGAGGGAGTGATGGGAGCCAGATTGCAGGTAAAGAATGGAAATGGAGTTAAAAACACCTCTTTTGAGAAGTTTGGGTGTAGAGAAGAGCCAACAGTGACACTAAGCTAAAAGGATTGCATGATATAATTTGTTTTTGTTTTGTAGCTGGAAAATAGTGGAGCAAATTTTATTTTGCTAATGGGAAAAACTAGCAAAGTAAGAAA